GCGTGGGAAAATTTTCTAGAAAATTCAGATTACGCAACAATGCAAATTAAAATGTTTATGTACACATATATACTTTTGATTCTTACTCTTGAGAATCTTCTACAACTTTGGAGAATAGGCGGGAGTATCGCAATACATATCTAACATTATAAGCTAGGCATGTTTTTAAATATAACCTTAATCTAAACAACGTTGATATTAAAATAAATACATAACAACAAATTCGTTATAGCTATAATTATCAAAGATGGTTATCTTAATATCTTCCAGTGGAATTTGGTTTCGTTCCGGTGATTCTTCAACAAGAAGAAGAACAGTAATTTTACTAATTTTTTGACTGCTTATTTCTTTTAGTACAAAACGATATGAATTTGCAGTTTTTATCACGATGTTTAGATCTGTTATGAAACATAGAAACAGTGGCTTGGGTTGTTTATTTTAGAGTAAAGCCACATTAGGTTATCTGCTGTGTCCATCGCGAGGAATCAAACCCCGGATTTTAGCGTTGTAAGTCCGTAGACATACCGCTATCCCACAGGTGACAAAACAGTGGAAATCTAGCATTTGTAACTGTTGTGGTAAACCCCAAACGTGACCAACACCTCGGTTGTGTATATAGAGCCACTGAGGTAAGTTGTAACTTGTCTGTAGGCACTTCTGGAGCCACTGCGGTAACTTGTCTGTAGGCACTTACTTTGCCTATATGTAACTGGTGCCAATTCTGTTATCGAATATTTTCTTCTATTTTTTTCACTACCTCCTGTAATTGAATATGTATTACTAGCATTTTACTCGTTCATTAAAAATAAGTAGGTTCTGATTAATTTTCAGAAGCTACAACCACCACATCTCCTGTAAAGTTAAATTGTGTGTCGCATCTGCTGAGGTAGTGTTTTTTATGTTTCAACATACTGAATGTTCTTAAACCAGGATTATTGTCCGGAGCCAGGAATGAGGGGATGAAACATATTGTTACGACAGCGGGGGTCACGTGACCCTAGTAACACGTCATATTCTCGAAGGTTCGTGAAGTCTCGAGAGGCTACTTGATATGCGGTAGTCTTATATATATAAGCCGCCAAGAAGTGACGGCAGGAATGTAATGAAATGTGTAATTGACAGTTGAGTTGAGCACGTGAGTGGTTCGTTGTGAATTATAGCGTTTGTTATTGCGTGACTGTGGAAATTAAGTGTATTGCAAAGTTGTATTCAGAAAGAATAAACCAGTTTTATTTAAGAAAGGACTTGTCTTGTATCGGTAAAGTTTCTTCGGAAGTAATTTTTACGAAAAATTAACTAACGAACGGAGGTGTAACAATACTTTTGAGTTATATTAGATATATACGCCAAACTGGAGATTCAAACAGAACATCAGTTGTCATAGAACAATGCTTAATGCATTCCAGCTAAATAATAGCAGACAGACTAGCCACAATGTGTGATACACATCATGGAGATTGGCCAGTAGTGTTCATTGTTAGGTAAAGTTTACCTTTTATTCACACGTTACCTGATTTCAATCTTGTTAGAATTGATGTAAGTTAATTATTACGAATGGAGTTGAAACTTAGTAATAATGATTAGTATAATAATTTAGTGTTTGCTTTGAAGGCTGATTCTTAATGTTAATAATTAATATAAAAGTCTATTATTAATATTCGGGGTTAATATCTTGTGTGAAAGTGTTATACGGAGTTTGAGTACAATATTTTAAAACGATTTTGGAGCATCACCACGTCATTGCGGTTTGTGCCGCAACGTTTGGTCATGTTCATTCTGATGGCCATTCATTTTGACATTAGCCTTCCAGCAAAACTTTCCATTGTGAAAGGCTCCATTTTCAAACAGCCATATTCAAAGTGCAACCTTCTTCCCCACTGCTTTGCATAACCCTCTTAGAGCAAGAGGACAACAGTTTCTCAGATATCGTTTCAACAGTGTGATCGCATAGACATCTATAGGTGCTTCATCTGGCAACTTGTATAGTATAGTATGAATACTTTTTCATTCTGTAGCTGCATATTCGACAGTTGAACTGATATGTCGTGGAATTCAATTGTTTACAGGTGACTTGTGTCGCTTTTTCAGATGGAAATCCTTTTCAATTATGTTGTGCAACTGTCACATAGAGCAAGTAGACAACTTTAGTCACTGTCTTTTGTGTTCCTGGATTTTCATCTGTTACAAAACGTTTAACTTTGTTTACCACAGATGGGGTACGATTTGTTGCGGACCTCTTTTTGGATGATCCCAGGGCCCCAAGTTGATCTATATTCCTTTATTTTCCAATTTCCTTAAGTAAAAAGTATATCCTGTCTTAGAAATTCTAAATCCTCGATCTGTTAAAATCTTTATAATTTGAATGCATGAATATTTTATGTCGGAAAGGGTTGTTGCATACTTTTCCCAAAAGGGGCCAATTTTCCGTGGCATCATACTGCTTTGAAAACGTCAAGCAATGTCAAAATGCATTTCTGATTCATCCCGTTCCACCAAGATTTTCTGATTTTAATATTCAACATAGTTTTAATATAACACACTCAACACTGTATTACCGTTTGGTGCTAGCAATTATAATTTAGTATTAGAGTTGAACTAGTACCATAAATGAGGAATTTTTTGCCTATACCAAGTGGAATTTTTGAAATTATCTAAAATCATAGTGTGACACAATAATGATAGTGTTAACGTTCACTTCTGCTGTAATGATTTTGTAAGGATAATATGCAGAATAATATAAATTAAGTTGTTTTGGACAAACATAATTGTCAATACCTCTTTTTAAGCATTATGGTAGCTTAAAATAACTCATTACTTAACGCTGAGCATGTAATCATACAAAATAAGAGCATAGCCACGAGAGCGCTGCTGTAGTATTGTTTAGCAACAAATCAACATGGAGTTTGTTGTGGAGATAGAACACGTGAGTTCGTCGTGTAACCGTTGCCCACATTCATTAGATTGGGGAAGAAATGGCTTAATTTGTTATGGATCTGGGAGCTCTGTTGTTTTATTAAATCCATGGAAAAGTGTAAGTAGTTTGCATGTTTTACTTATGCACATGATACAGAATCTTTTTCTCATGACATCTGGATTCCGAAGACATTTGAAGTAGGCCTAAGAACCATTAATAGTAATCTACTAGTAGTAGTACTTCCATTACTGAGATTTGAGCAAAGTTTCAACTCCGTTAAGATTGAAGTTAATAACTACCGACTTCCATTACAGTCTACACTGAAGTTTAATTAAAGTTAAACACGGCAACATCATCAAACGAAGAAGTAACTTATTACGATTTACTTTTATTTTCTTCTGGCGACGGCAGCAACACGGGTTACATTAGGTTACAATTTACCGTAATAAATTCTGAAAATCAGCTGGTGATGTATACCTACTTAATCAGTAATTTTGCAACAAATTGTTTGAACTTCACTGTCCATCAAGTCCATTGACTTTGTGAAACTGAAAGAATGTATGTCACACCCTCTTAATCTTATGGTATTGACAGGTTATGTTTATAATAATATTAAAAATTTTAATATCAATTATAGTATGAAATATAAAATGTTTCTTTTTTATGAGTGCTTATGTAATAACTTCTACCAAAAGAGTTGCTAAAAGGCTACAGCAATCTTAATTATGTGTAACAGGCAAACTACAAAAGTTTCTATGACTGCTCTGTTTTAAGTCATCAGTTAGGTACCCTTGCCATTATTTTTTTGTTTTAGGCCTTTAACCCAGGGACGCGTGACAAAGTTGGGCTTAGCAACATTCTAAGATCTAATGCAGAATTGTTACATATAAAGCTTTGTGTACCATGTCTATCACATGTGGTCAGTTTTGTTATTAATATTTAATAAATTTAATGTTATATTTTAAGTCTAACTAATACTATAAGTAACTAAAATGCATATTGAATTAATTAAATTTGGTACTATAAGTTACAAAACGTTATAGAAACTTGTGTCTTATTTAATATGAGGCAAGTTCTGGATAGAAGTTAAGAGTCCCACAGAACAATAGCACAACATATGTGTACACGAAGTCTCATGCATTAGTTCAGGTTCTTCTCCATTATAGTGTATGAAAGTGACCTTGCTAAAGTTAGTCTGCTCAGTTGTCAGACTTGAAAAGGAGGGCGTTATTAAGATAACAAACCAAAGGAACGGATCTTAAAAGTGGAAAGATTATCTAAGAAAAGTTAACATAGAATGTAAAATTGAGAGATAAAAGACAGTTTTAAACCTCCATGGTGTGATAAATGCTTAGAGTTGTGTTTCAATTTGTAAGGTTAGGATAAAAAAGTTATATCCTATAGTGAATGTTAATTATGTGATGATGCTGAGTCAATGATCAAACAGCAGTAAATGATTTACACAGCATAATGTTTGTTGGAGATGAATAAAATGGAAAGTGTGAAAGGATAAATACATAGGCTTGTGGTGGAGTATATACATCTTGGATGAAGAAAATTATTTATATTCTGTATTGAGTATATTAATTATGAGGTTTGTAATGATTCAATGACCTCGTCATGGAAAAGAGTTAACTCAGCATAAGAGCTGAATAAAACGATGAGTGTGATGTGTAGAATGTTTAAGTTTGTGTTAGGTTATGTAAAGCAAGGATAAAGAAAGTTATGCAAAATTCATAGCTATTACATTAATTTATAGAATCATTTTTCATAATATTTTTATTGATAATTCTATAAAAAAATGGTAAAAGTGTCAGTTTCATGTGTGAGATAGCAAATTCTATTTTTGTTTTGTTATGGTTTTGTTTATCGTTAATTTATTATTCTATTATTTAGTTTAGCTGCTGTTTTAGTTCCTTACAAGTGGTTCTGATTACCGTATTTTCCCAAATATAATGCACACTTTTTTCCTCCAAATACATTCCCAAAAACTGACTGCTCATTATATTCGGGCACATTCAATTTTTTGAGGTATTTGACCAGAAGCTACCAACAAAAATGATTAAAATATGATTAAAGGTTTCAAAAAATGTTGCATATCTAATGCAATGTATGGGATGGATGATGCCATTCTGTGGGAATCAGAAGAGGATGAAGCACAGGAATCCAATAGTAGCGACAATTATAGTGATGACAAAGATTTATGTGAAGATGAATTATTAGCTTATTGTATAACCATGTATAAACTTTTAAATGAATTTTGTAAAATTCACATATAAAAAGATATTTCAATGAGAGATTTCTAAAAATGTTTAATACATCAATAGTTGTTTACTGTATTTGGAAACTATTCAATACATTTTGTACAACTGGTGTGTAAAAAAACACCATTTTAACCTTTCAAAATTGGGTGTGCATTATATTTGGGCAAATATGGTATTACTGTTTTCAATTATTCCAACAGTTGAATAAGCAAGATTCTGATTATATTGACTTTCATGAAAGTGATCAACTAATTGAAATTAAAGCTGGGCAATTAGTGGTATTTTCTAATTCTTGATGGACCCATTCATCGGTTCAATAGTCAGTCGTTCGGAATTAATGACAGATAGTGTTTGTAGCTTTGCCCTAAAAAGACAGGGTGAGCAAGTTTTGTATTAATTAAAATTAAACTTCAGACGTTTGAATCACACCCTTCCCCTCTCAGAATCACCAAAGCTGAACAAACTTGAAGTAAATTACTTATAAGGTTAAAACTGGGCAGAGTATGGATAGCCAATTGTACAGCTTTGTGCTTAACAACAAGCAAACATAATAGGAATATTTCAATTACTTGCATGGTTGGAATAATTGAAAATAGTAATAAATGGAATATTTGACTTTGGCATAATACATGAATGTATATTTATGCTGTATAAAAGTTCTATGATATGGCATAAAGAAGTATCAAGGACAGAAATTAAATAAATCATAAAACACTGAATATGTCTGTCTGTATTTATCAAGACTGTCAATTTTGGTTTTATATGAAACTAACTGAAAAAAATTTTGCATTAAAAGATGATAGTTTGCCACCAGTTAAACTAATGAACCCCTTGTGTTAAAGTTGATTAGTTCACTATTTGGTACAGGAATTTCATCATAAGTTAAGACCTGTTTAGTAGTATTTTACTGTAATAAAATAGTTCTCTCTTGTAAATATTTGAAACAGTAGTGTATTATATTCACATAATATTCTTCCTTCTACTTCTGGTAAAACAAATCAACTTTGCTTGTACCTTTTGAAACATTGCCCATACCAATTCAGACTGATGAATCATGTTGTAAAGCTGACTAGTTTATTAAAGTACACAACATTTAATACTTTACTGGTCTACATAGTGAATATTTGATTCTTATCAATAAACAGATTGCATTTTGAAAGGGACATAAAACTTCCTGTGGTACTTTTCCAACGTTTATGAGAAAATAGATGTCAAAAATATATAGAGTTAATGTTGACATATTTAGCTATTGTATAGACACTGTTAAATCCTTACATACATCAAGCATCCAAACATGAAAGGCTACTTATTGATGTGTAGTAGTTACTGTTTTGTAGATTATACCATAATATGAATCACTGGAATTCAACTTGTAGTGAATATTCCTGTTATTCCAGTTTAAAGAGTAGAGTAACAGATGAATATTTAATTTTTTTCCCTCAGTTTTCAAGCACCACAGGGCAGCCTATACAAACTGCTGTGCTACATACAAATCAAGTAACTTCAGTCAGGTGGATACAACATGGACAAGGTACTTTACAGTTAGTTTTTATGCCAGTATTTTACTAAACATTGAATTCCTTTTGTATGACAATATATATAATTTTATATAGATGTAGTTAAGTGCAAAAGAACGTTGATAAAAATAAGCTTAGATCAAGTATAACATGTACGAGTGTTAAGAGTTTTTAGTACATCAGAGACCTGTTGGAATTAGCTTTTAGATCAATTTGTGCTTTGTTTTGCAATTGGATTCAATTTTGTTTCAGTTAAATAACTGATAACTATTTATGTTTAAAGTAAAATTAGTGCTTTGGAATTCTTGCTGGGGATCTTTTATTTCATATTAGTGCATTAGTTTCAACAAAAGATAATACAAATTCATAGTATGCCATTCGATCACTGAGAATCATCTTTAATTCACACAAAAATAAAAACAGAAAGTAGAAGCAAACAGCTCGTACTGACTTTAGTTCTTCACATTCGTATTCTTATTAAAAGAGTTAAAAATGACAATATACACCACAACTTCAGAGCTTAGAACTTTCACAGATAACTAATTTTACCAAATAAAAGTTATGTTTGTGCTTTCCATATTTTTATTAATGCTCTCTGTAGAAACTTTGTAAAGTGTTTGACACAACCTTAAAAGGTAGGAGATTTGGAGATCACCAGAGGCTTCTAGCAAGGTTTAGGGATATCTCTTCTCCTAGTATCAATAGCTTTCTTACTGTTACATTTGTAGTTTTTTGGGACATATTGCTATCAAAATTGTTCTCTCTACAAAATGCAATTCTGAAAGCCATAAAGTAGAGCAAATAAAAAAAAAAATACCAATGACCATTTTTGCTCATCTTTTCCAATCAACAGTTTAAAAAAAAACTGTTTCAAATACATTCTACTTTTGTTATTGTTTTTTATTAGTAACAAAGTGTAAAATATTTTCAAAGTCAGTTATGGATTATGGTCAAACACAGTTTCATTTTTAGGTTGTTGTGATGACTATCATTAATTATTGAGTCCACTTGCCATTCTTCCTGTAGTATCAGCTGTTATTGTAGTGGTCCACTTGCCATCCTTTCTGTAGTATCTATCAACTGTTATTATAGTGGTACACTAGTCATCCTTCCTGTAGTGTCTGTCAACTGTTATTTTAGTGGTCCACTAGTCTTCCTTCCTGTAGTATCAACTGTTATTGTAGTTATCCACTAGTCGTCCTTCTTGTAGTATCTATCAACTGTTATTGTAGTGGTCCACTAGTCATCCTTCCTGTAGTATCTATCAACTGTTATTGTAGTGGTCCACTACTCATCCTTCCTGTATTTTCTATCAACTGTTATTGTAGTGGTCCACTAGTCATCCTTTCTGTAGTATCTATCAACTGTTATTGTAGTGGTCCACTAGTCATCCTTCCTGTAGTATCAACTGTTATTGTAGTGATCCACTAGTCATCCTTCCTGTAGTTTCTATCAACTGTTATTGTAGTGGTCAACTAGTCATCCTTCCTGTAGTATCAACTGTTATTGTAGTTGTCCACTAGTCGTCCTTCCTGTAGTATCAACTGTTATTGTAGTAGTGCACTTGCCATCTTTTAGGTAGTATTATCTGTTATTGTAATGGTCCACTAGTCATCCTTCGTGTAGTATCTAGTTACTATCCTTACTCCTGTACCCCAATATCTTTTACTGTGATGCTGGATGAGAAACTGAAAAACAGTAGTGGATGTGGCCCCCTACAACCAAACAATTACATAGAGGAGGTCACTTGTAGGGTGCTGGTTACTCATGGGTCTTACCCAATGTGTGTATGAATGCTTATCTGAAATACTTTTATTATAATAGGCTGGGGCATAGTTGGATGCCTGATGACTGTACTAGGCTTAGGTCTAGGCACCCTCACAGGTTGGCCTGGGAAACCAGATGGTTGCCTAATTACTTTGTTTAAAAAATGCTCTCATTTCACACTGATAGTCTTACCTATTAGCCCTCATTCCACATTGATAGTCTTACCTATTAGCCCTCATTCCACATTGATAGTCTTACCTATTAGCCCACATTCCACATTGATAGTCTTACCTATTAGCCCTTATCCCACATTGATAGTCTTACCTATTAGCCCTCATTCCACATTGATAGTCTTACCTATTAGCCCTCATTCCACATTGATAGTCTTACCTATTAGCTGTTTAATTTATGCTGTTAAATATCTTTTAAATCTTAGAATTTATTACTTGACTTTGTTATTTTTGACATTATTTGTTATTCCTCTGAAAAAGTGTGTTCAATGCTGCAAATTGAAGCTGAAATTTTGCCTGCAATATTTTGTATTGCTTCGCTAAGATTAGTAATCCGTAACATTTGAACCAGTTGCTTTTTAGATAGTTTAGTCAAACATTGTTTCAGTTTATTTTTATATCAATTTTTATTGAAGTTGTGATATTCTGTGAATGAAGTTTTCATCACAGTTATATTTAACATGTTCTGTCCTGTATAACATTATACAAGTTTGTTATAAAATCTTCATTTTCCTTATTCAGAATTTTACATTCTATCGACATCAGTTGATAAGACTGCTATATTATCGAAGCTGAAAGATGCCACTGTAAGTAGTTTTGTTATATAACTGAACGTTAGTGAATTATTCTCTGTTTGTATATATTAAATGTCATTTTGTATTACACTTCAAATGATAATAGTTAAACTCTGTACAGAAGGCTTACTAGAAGGTGTTTGGTAGATATAGTGAATCTTTAATGTAACCTTATATGGAGCTATCTTTCATCGATTTAACCAATGTTTAGTCAACAAAAGAAGAGGTAAATATAAGTATTAATGAACAAACAAAGGTGAAATTGGCAGCGAGATTGTTGTAATTATTGCCATGTTCAGTTTAAATGGCAGTAATAGTCTCAAAATATGAGTAAATTGAGAATGTTTAATCTTTATTTAATAATAAGAACTTCATGTTACCCAAGAATTGAAAAGTGTAGATTGTTTTGGTATCCCCCCCCCACAAAAATATTTTAATATCACATAAATTGTTAGTCAGCTTGCATGTTGCTTTCGTCTCAAAAACAACAAATGGTTGCGATCAACAACAAATGATAAAATATTTTAAACAAAGGGTCTGGTAAATATAATTTAATAATTAATGTTTTCGTGGATGATTTGTGAGAAAAGCTTTAACTGTAACTCTTTGTTACTTGTTTTTTTTATTTGGTCATGCGACAATAAAGTTTAAAAAGTCAAGCATGGGAAGAATATACTCAAATCTTAGGAGGGTTTTGTTGTATTTACTTAAAAAAAGTCATGAAGGCATCTCAAAAGCCGAGTTAATTTTGGGTTATTGATCAAGGTTTCCGGGTTTGTGAGGTTCCTTTGGTATTCATAAAACTCTGCTAAAAATCTTTACTAGCTAAATGATTGAAGAAGAATTGAAAAAAAAATATTGATTTTTTTCTATAACCATAATAACATTTTGAAAATACCCAAATTTTTTTTTGAAACATTTACAACTGTTTTTGTACTTTTTCAAGCTCATAATATGAAAATTATATTACATTAACAAAAACTCAGTGTTACATTTACTTGCTCTTATTAGCATTACCGAAAGTCTTATAAATATCTTTTAAAAATCATGTTAAAACTTAAAATAACTTTATAAACAATTATCTTCCTATTTTTTTGGTTCTTGGTGGACAAGGTCTATAACTTTATATGGCAATAATAAACCTTGAACTTGTTTACGAATATTCCAGTGATATAAGTTTTAACATGTCAAAAAACAGAGTTCAGACACAGAACTCATACTAAATTAGAAACATACACACACACGTGCTGACAAAATAAGATAACCAGCTAATTTATAATTTTTTTTATTAAAAAAAAAAGTTGACTGTTATTCATATGGAACTTTTTTTGTGTGTCCAGAATCATTGTAATATCTAAGATTGATCCTTTAGATAATGCCATTACTATGTTCCATTGCTGAAGATTATACATAAAATATTTGTTTACAAGGGTTAGTAACACAGTATAATATAACGTGATATAGAGTTAAATTAACCCTTCTGATAGCTTCTAACTTGCTCTTTGGATAACTTTAAAATTTCTTTTTATACAAATTCAACCTTGCTCTTCAGTTCGGTTCAGTTTCTTCTCAGATAGATTTAAACTTGCTTTTGTGATAGATTCAGACTTACCCAGTCATTTAAGGTGCAGTAGGTCATATGTAATGTGGACAAAAAATATCCAGTCAGGTTTTGTGTTATTTTTTAAATTATTTAGTAGAGGTGAAAATTATGTTCTTATTAGTGAGCTTTCATAAATCTGAAATGAAGAAAGTGGCTCTGTTGTGAGTTAGTTGAAGTATAAACTTTTCAGATAATGAAGAAATGAATCTTATTGAAACTGTTTGAATTAAATAATAGTTCATAATTTTTTTTCAAGCTTCAATATGAAGTGATTTTTAGTGGTCATGCTAGTGTGGTGTCTATTGCCGATGCAGTTTGGTTGCCAGGAGATCCACAAACTTTGTTAGTTGTGACAGCCTCAGCTGATTCAACAATGAAAATCTGGAAGAAAATTGAGCAAACTGGTAATTTCTAGAGTAATTTTTTATGGTATTTTAATACTGTATTGGTTTCTTTTATGAAAATAACTTGTAAGTAAACTTTTTATCACATCAATTACATATATAGACAGTTAAAACATTCCAGTTGTTCTCCACATCTCCACAAAAAGGCTTTAAAAATTTGTATGAACAGTATTCACAAATTACATTATCACCTGAAAGTAATTATTCCGAGACGCACACAAGGAATGTGTAACACAAGGAACGTGTAACACAAGGAATGTATAAGTGAGCATGCACAAAAATATTTTATACATGTTTAAACGTGACATTTGTGGTGTCTTCCAGATGATAAGTATTCTTGGTAATATGTTGTATTTTCTATTTTTACTTTATTTCAGTATGGTGTTGATATTATATATTTTGTTTGTATTTGAAAATGACTAAGGAGCATTTTTTCTTCCAGAACCAGCCTGTCTTCAGACAGTGTCATTTGGAAATGGATTTGCTTTAAATGTTAAATTGACATTGTTGCCTGGAACTACAGGTGAGAAAACATGTTAAAAGAATGAAAAGGTGTTTTTGAGTTTTTAATTTTTTTTAACATAATAATGTGTGTGTGTGGGTATAATATATATATATATATTATCAAAACAAGCCTTAACAACTAAAACAAAAGTGCTGTATATATTAAAAAGATCACCAGGACATAGGATATAATGTCGGATATAAGATGTGCCCTGGGTTTTTGTGGTGAGGATACGTTGTCTACAAGTCCTAATCTCCATTTGCTAGTCTCACATGTTAAAGAAAGAAGAGTAAACAAAATAGTTAAAAAGTAGATATGAGAATACATTAAGACTAAGTTAGGAGACCAAGATATGGGGGCTGAAGCCCCCAAAGTTTCACATCTATATCACTCTTCACCACCTGTTGTGGAAAGTTGACTGCTCTCCAAAGAAATATAACATGAAAGAAAAACGAAAATGAATCAGGTCCAACCATTGGGGTAATTAAGGGAATCTTACCTCCAAGATTGGCATTCCAGCCCCAATTATACAGTAAAAGCTGAAATTAATAAGTTAATATTGGTAGTACAGTAGATAAATTATAGTAGTATAAAAGCATAAAAACCCAACCCAAGTTATCTGACTAATATAACTCCCAACCTCTACCAATTAATGTTACTCATAGAGTCCATTGTAACTACCAATTTCTGGAATTGTACTACTTCCTCTCATTGAAAGCTATTTCAATCCTAGTTTACCTCTATGCATTGCTAAAGATTTTTCCCTAATAGTGCACCAGTCTTTTATACCCCTACATTTTTTGCACCATTTCAGAACATGGGCTGATCATGTGACTACCCTCCACCAATCATACTGCTCCATCTATACTAGTGCAACTAACTCCCTCTACTATTCTAGCACAATCTTCACGTTCTCAGTTGGCATTCTTGTATATAGACATGTGTTTTAACTCATTTTTCACGTGACTACAAAATTTTGATTGTGCTTGATCGCTAACTTATATCAGTTTCAGTTTCTTGTGTTTGATCTCCATTGTTTCTATTTGTTTGTTTTAGAAATATTTCTGTTTTCCGAATTCTTATTTGTTTATATGAATTTGAGATTTAATATGGCAGATGATGAAATTCCCGTGTTAGTAGACGATGGTTCTGACATATATCTCCAGGTCTAAGAGTCGACGATGTCTGCTGGGGAAACACAGGCTTTAGTTCGCAGGGAATTCATTTTTTACATTTGGCCTATGATTTCTTTCTTTCATGTTACAATTTTTAGTGAGAAAAGATATAATTACTGTGTGGAAATTTCTTTTTACGGCACTTTTCACCTGCACCTCCATGTAATCTGTTGGGTTAAATATTGTTCTTTTTTCCCAGGAGACCTATGGTAAGTTTTTCAGTGTGTATTCCTCATTCCCAGTAGGTATACTCATGTTTAGTGAGTTTATGTGTGCTTGTGTGGATGGACCTAATTTCCAGACTCGATAATTTAGGTCTTTCGTGTCTTCCCTATTCAGTATTTGGTAAGTTGCCCCCAGTAGCACAGCGGTATGTCTGCGGACTTACAACGCTAGAATCCGGGTTTCGATACCCGTGGCGGGCAGAGCACAGATAGCCCATTGTGTAGATTTGTGCTTAACTTCAAAACAAACAATTTGGTAAGTTAGATTTTATAATTATTTTACCATCCAAGTTACTCTAGTTTAAATTTGTGTTTAGAGTTTGTTTTTGTTTAAGTTTTGGTATATGTACTGGTTTTGTACAATCGTTACTTTGTGGGTGTGTTGGGTCATTATTTTTATTTCTTTTCACTGTTAATGTTATTTTGTTTGTAAGTTCCTTTTTCTTCACAACCAGTCGCACCTAACTGGGGATTAGATTTGAGTCAAAATTTCATATTGTTAACTGGATGCCTTTTTATGATAATTTTCTTCAGGGTAGGTTTTACTTTCATGTCCTTTGTTTTATAGGTTCTTTGGGTGGACTTATCTGTTTGATATTTAATGATCTCTTATCTTATAAGTTTCTTTAGTGGTTTTTACTTTAGATGTTGCTTATTGTTTTTTATGTTTTAGATCAAATTTTGTAGTTTTGCAGGTTGGTTATTTTTATGTGCTTTGTAGACTCTACAAATTTCTAAGTTTTGTAAGTTCATTAGTATTGAATACTTTCTCTAAGTATGTTTAGTTTGTGTCTTTTGGCTACACTTCACGACAATTCCATGGGTTCTACTGGTTCTACCTGAAGGTTTGTGCCTTCAGTCCCCCCCCCCCCTCTATCCATTTCCCAGATCTCATTACCTCTTTTTCAGGATTGTACCTCATCCAGTCATCTTGCTGAGTCTGTTTGAGACCTTCTACACAAAGGAGCTATTGAACGGGTGGTGCTCACTCAACCAGGATTTTACTACTGTTTATTTGTTGTCTCCAAAAACACAGGAGATCGGAGATCCATCATTGGTCTGTCCTGGCTGTATACCTATTTGGAGACACTTCGCTTGACCATGGAGTCCTACATCTCACTTCAGTAGGTTTTTTCCCGGGACTTTGGATGACCAAGTTTGATGTGATGGGTGCTTACCTTCATATTCTAATTGCCCCAGTGTCACTTCAGTTTGTCCACGAGGGTTCTTGTCTTCCAGTTCTGGGCACTGCTGTTTGGTCTTTCTTCAGCTCCCTATGTGTTTTGTCGAGTGGTACACTCTTTTGCATGTCATCTTCATTTGCTGGTTTTTTGGACTCACCATTACATGGATGACTGGCTACTGCTTGCCTCTTCCCGTGTTCAGTCACTCACTCATACCCATTCACAAGCTGCTTGGGTGGGGTTTCTCATCAAGGTGGAGAAGTCCTTTACTTCTCCCAAATAGAATCTTATTCATTTGGGGGTTTTCTTTAATTCCCATCTTGGTTGGGCACAGCCTTCTCCACTTTGGTTCAAGGATGTGGAGTGGGCAGTCATGAAGGTCGTACCTTCTCCTTCTCTTTATGCACGAGAGGTTCTATCACTTTGGGGATGTGGGCTTCATTGGAAGCTCTCATTCCCTTGGTTCTTGTGCACATGCATTCCCATCATTGGATGCTTCGTGACCAGTGGAACTTCTCCCACTATCCCTTGGATCATCCCATCACCCTTCCACCTGGGATCAGGGCTGAATTTGCTTGGTGGCTCAACAGGGACTTCACCACAGTGGGAGTTCCTATTCCTCCACCTCATCCCAAGTCTCATCTGTTTACAGATGCCTTCTTGGTTGTTTGGGGGGGGGGACTTTCATTGATTCCTAAGAGATTTCAGGTCGGTGGTCAATCAAGGAGACTACTCTCCATATCAACATCCTGGAACCTTTGGCAGTTCATCGGTCTCTGTATCATTTCCTTCCACCCATGCTGGGGTATGTTGTTATGGTTCATTCTGACAATTCCACTGTCGTCAGCTGCATCATCAGGCAAGGGGGAACAAAGTCCAGATCTCTGTATTTTCAGACTCTTGATCTCCTGTACTAGGCCAACGACCATCATCTGACAGTTTTGGCATGTCATGTTTCTTGAATTATGAATCTTGTAGCCAATCTCTTATCCCGTCCCAACCAGATTCTTCTCACAGAGTGGTCCTTTCATCCTCAGGTATTTCTGTGGGTATGTTCTCATCTGGGAACATTGCATATATATGTTTGCATTTGAAATTAAACTGGAATGCCAAACTTCCTTCCTTTTCAGTCTCCAGTTCTTCACTTCTCAGTTCTGGGGATGGATTCTTTCAGTCAAGATTGGAGAGGTCTTCAGCTATATGCCTACCTTCCAATCAGACTCCTCTCCAGACCACTCCTTTTTGTTTTCTGCTGGTTGCTCCATATTGGCCAGGCTCAGAGGTGGTTCCCTCTGCTCTGGCTCTTACTGGAGCAACAGACACTGCCCATTTTCTCTGTCCTGATTGCTCCTCTGATAATCGTGGTAGGATGTATTTCATCTCAATGTCACCAAACTCTATCTTCACATGTGGCTTTTGATTGGTCCCTTGCCTCGGCTCAGAGACTCATCCCTCGTGTAGCATCTTTCTTTGCCCATACCATTCTCCCTTCCTCCTTGTCTGTGTACCAGAGGCATTGGTTTTACTTCATACTTTAGTCTATTCACCATGGCTTCTGACCATCCCGTCCTTCTGTTCCTCACCTGGTTGTTTAATCAGGATTTGTCAGTTTGAACTGTTGCTTGTTATAGGGCTACCCTGTTGAACATCTTCCATTGTCAGGTTCTAGAAAGTCTATTCTTCTCCAGTTATTTCCCTTCTTTTTCATTCTTTTCATCAGGTCCATCTGCCACATCCCTTTGTTCTATCAGATTGGGATCTCAGTTTTATCCTTCATGCCCTCTCCAGTTCTTTCTTTGAACCCATTGCAATGCGTTCCTTGTACCATCTTTACCTATGGATCTATTTCCTCCTACCGTCCTGGCATGTGTTCATCGTCATTTCCAGATTTATGTCACTGATGTTTCCAGCATCCTTTACCATTCCTCGTATGTTATCCTCTATTCAGATCAGGCCTTCATTCCCGAGACATTGGCTGCCTAGGAAAGTTGTTTAGTCTTTCCTCCTATTTCTTACCTCCCTTATCCTACCTGTACTCCAATCCAGATCGACTACTTTATCCAGTTCGTTCCCTGCTATGTTATATGGCTCATACTGCCTCCTTTCATGGTTCTCGTTCCTGTCTATTTATTCCATAGAATTCTTCTGTTTCCCATGATATATCTCCTATTAGGCTCACTGGTTGGGTTCATCAACTCATATGTCTGGCGTATTTGGACGTGTTCATGGAAGGTCAGTGTGTATATAGTGTTTCTTTGCACCAAATTCGTCATTTAACTATGTCTTTAGTTTCTCAAAACCACCGTCCTTTGGAGGAGATCTTTCAGGCTGGTACGTGGACAACTCCCAATACATTTGTCGCACATTATCTGCACAACCTAGCTGTGTCTTCCTCCTGTGGTATTTCTACATACATCTGTTCACCTTTGACTGGG